CCATTCCAAAAGATGCGTTCCAGCAGTGTTTCCAGCAATGGCAGGAACGCTGGGAGAAGTGTATACATTACCAAGGAGACTACTTTGAAGGGGATTAGGGTTTTGTACCTCAAAGTCAATAAATTTATTTTTACCGACCAAAGGTCCGATACTTTTTGAACAGACCTTGTATATACTGATTAGGATTTATCAACTTCTGATTTATAAATTTATCAAGCACAGATAAGATAAATTTATATATGTATGAGAAGAAAAGATCCAATTTGAAATTTGAGATAGTATAATTGATCAGCTTTTAAATGCTATGAATCTTAATTTTTGTGTTTGTTTAGTTTAATTTAAAATAAAATTTGATTATTGAATCATTAACTTAATAAAAAAATGGTAGTATGTAAATCTTTAGCACCAAATGATTGTATTTATTATACATTTTTAAAATCATCTTAATTTAGTTGTGGTAAAATTAATTTTAATTTACATTGATTGTTTTTATAACAGATTTAATTTAGTATTTTTTGATATTTTGATAATTGTGACATTAAAAGAAACAAATTATTTCATAATAGTTGAAGATTATAAATTTAAATGGTTTAGAAAATTGTACATAAAATGTTTATCCTTTTAAAAATCATAAATTATAAGAAAAAAAAAGTTTATATTATTTCAGAGTTTTCATTTGAATCATTTGAAATAAATATTAAAAAATGTTATCTAGTAATTTATGATTCAATCCTCCATATATTTTTTTGATATTCTACATTTTAAAATGTTACAGAACAAAAACATTAAACTGTGCCATATTAGAAATATAAAAATCATATTTTCAATACGTCAGTTTAATCAGCTTATAATTGTGAATTTGCATAAAATTTTGTTATTAAATTTCTTTGTGATTATTTTTTGTTTTTATATATTTATTATTTTATATATATACTATTGAATTTTCTACAGGAATATTACTGGTTCAAAATCCCCAGAAACATGGAAAGGTGCTTTACCAAATGTTGAATATTTAATAGGCTCAGGATATAAAAATAATGCGTATGTAATTATTTTTTACAAACATTTCTCTGTGTGTTTTTATAAGCATTATTAAAATGGTCATACAAAGCTATTTTAAACATTATAAACAAACTGTAAAAAATTTTTTTTATCATGGATTTCCAATAAAATGATAAAAGTTTAAAAACATTCAATGGGTCAGAAATTACAGTCGACCCCCCCATAACACGGTAGATATGTTTCGTTCTTTATGAAATTCATTTTTTTTTACGAGTCCTTAAATACATGAGCCAATCACAGCCGGTACAGCCCGGCACAGTACGGTGTTCAGTTTAGGGACTACAGCTGTTTGAAAGGTTTTCTTCCATAAAATTAATCGATTCTAGGACTAATTTGACTCAAAATTTCCGAAAACACATATAATATTTGGTAATAATCCATATAAACTATGCTATAAACAAAAAATTGTAGGATTACTTACCAAGTGTGCACTGTTCAATGACGCCATTGCTTAAGCTTGTTTTTGTCGTGGAGCGGTGCATCAAATGGGGCAGCGCTTGTTTCCTGATAAATTATTTTTTTTGCGAAAAATTTGCTGAACTTTGGAGACATCATTAATATAAATATAATTTTTATGGACGTTAAATAATAAATGGTTTTTAGTAGGTCCACTGCTCGTTTAAACTCAACGGTTTGTGCAATATCCGCTATTTGTCTAGATTCAACCAATCCTGTCGCGACACAAGTCGGTGATGACATTTTACCGAATTATACGAGTCTCTTTTAGCGTGTTTATATGAATACGGTCGCATTTTTTTGCCATTATATACTAATCCGAACTATATGAACCCGTTTTATAGGGGGTCTACTGTACTTTAATTTAAAATTTATAAAATACAAGAAAACTGTCAGCTTCTTTTAACTTCAGTGGTGATAAAAACATTCAAACAATATTTGAATCAAGAAGTGATTATTTTAATTTTTATGCTTCAGCATGATAAGTAACTTATAATTGTATGGCGAAGTATGAGAATTAAAATAATTCTTTCTTGGTTTAAGTGTTGTATGAATGTTTTTATCACCTCTTAAGTTGGAAGAAGCTGACAGTTTTTTTCATATTTTGTGTACTTTAAATTAATAGAATGCCAAGCTTAATTGGAAGAGTTAATTTTATCATCATCAATATAAATTATTATACATACAAACATATACAGGGGATATATTTATAGGTTTTTGCATAAATTGATGTTGCTTTATTTTCCTACTGCAATAATTTATTACTCAAATTAAAACAAAAATCGGTTTCTGATGTTAAAATATGATTAAAATTTTAATTTAAGTAGTGTGTATAAATTTAATTGAGCAAACCTTTTTGGTTATCATCAGGTGATGTATTTGGAACATAGGAAGAACAAAATTAAAATAAAAAAAATAGACTGATATTTAAGAGCCAAGATCATTTCAGTGGAAAATGTTATAATTTAAATTATGAAATTTGATCATACATGGAATAATTATAAATTTGAACTACATTCCATATGTGAAAGTAAAAACAAATATACTACAAGTACAGTAGATCCCCCTATAAGATGGTAGATACGTTCCGTTCTTTATGAATCAATTTTGTAGGAATCATAGTTTACGGACTACGGCTGTTTGAAAGGTTTTCTTTCATAAAATTAATCGATTCTAGACTAATTCGACTCAACATTTCCAAAATANCTCTGCTGATCAGTGGGTTTCCAGATATATGAATCAGATGGGCCAAAAATCCTCTTCCATCATAAATCATGGCTAAATAGAAATCATAGATTGGCCATAGACATTAGAATTTTCCATAAATCAGAAAAAACTTAGTGCAAAGCAAATTGCTGTTTGGAACTTATTGCAAATAATTTTTTTTTTATTTTTTTATTAAACTTTAAAGTTTTTGAAATATAAGTAAAATTTTATTTATACATTAAAATATGTTAAATAGAAAATAAATTTTGAATATTTTTTTAATACAAAAATTTATTTTAAAAAGGAATCCAAAACATTTTTAACTTAAGGTGAACACGTGAAAAAATACTTCAAAAAGGATTTATGGAAATTCTATAGCTGTTTCTCCGTCTTCTCTCACATTCTCCCTATGCCCCTGAAGCAAGCAGTGTTTTATTTCGAAGCTATAAAAAATTGTAAATGATGATAAATGGCCACTTACAGAAACAAAGTATAACTCTGAACCCTGGTTTAGACTTGCTTCTATCCAAGTTTAACAAATGGCTTTTGACAAGAATAATAATACTCAACAATAGGTAATTACAGTATAACTTGAACATTTCTTTAACTGAAATGATAGGTCTCAATGGAATAGCATAGGGATTTAATGTCTCCAACTTGAATTTCCTTAACTCAAATTTTCTCCAAGTTGAAGGCTTTTGTGATTCCCTGACATTGATTTATGTTGCTTTCAACTTCCTCGACTTGAATTTTAATATTTATTCTATCCAAAGTGATCCTAGTTATTGGATTTTTTTGAAATTTTCAGTTAGTTGTATGTAGTGTCCAACACCTATTTGCAGACTAATCTTCCTGTTCAAAGCAAGAGGACCTCTCACTTTATATCAGCAAGATGTACCTGAAAAACTGTTATATTAGTTATATTGATAAACAAACAACTTTAACACCTAAATGCGAATTCCAGCATAAAATGAACAAATAAAATTTAATGTTCAAACGATTTCGGCCATCTTTCAGAGGCCATGTCAGGAAAGAATGCAGGAAACACACAAAAAAAAGTTCTATCTTTTTGAAAATATCTAATATTCGAAGTTAGCTGTGTTCCAATTTTTAAACATTTAAACGATGTTCAATACAAAAATCATTCTGCTTACATCATATAAATTAATTATTTTTTAAATAAAGTTATAAATTAATTATTATAATATTATGTGGTGATGTAAAAGTTAGCCTAATGTTTAAACATATAAACGACGTTCGGATATAAACGATAAGGAAATTGTTTTTTTATATTGCATAAAGATAAATAAACAATTACACATAAAAATTATCATTATGCTTTGTGGCATTGTAAATAATACTTCCACAATTGTGGAACTGGAATATAGTCAGGTTAATGCAACCTCCCTTCATGCCTGCTATATAAGAAGAGAAGCTGATGTTCCTAATTAACTGTTGCAACAATGAAACTTTCCCGATGTCCATCTTTCGAATAAAGCTTCTATACAGCTATGAAGCTCTTTTGCCTAAAGTACAATTTTTGTGCCTTAGAAAGGCTATTCAACATACCAGATGCCTGATGTACCACAAATTGAATCAACTCATTAATCTTGAGGAGGGCTTATATAGATAGGATTTTACCATACTGAAACAAGTGAACTCCAGAATCATTGAACTAGAAGCTAGTGTCAAGAGCAATTTACAGTGTAAATATGAAAAAAAGCTCACTTGGATAATCATAATACAAAAACTGCATCCCAAACCTAAGTTCAACAATATTATAACATGTTAGGACATCATCTCTCCTCCAGAATACTTCCTCAAAGCATTTGAATTTGGTCCTATATTTGTGCCTCAATCAGCTGCAAATTGCAACTATATTCCAGTTCCAAATCATGGAAGTATTATTTACAATGCTACAAAGCATAATGATAATTTTTATGTGTAATTGTTTATTTATCTTTATGCAATATAAAAGAAACAATTTCCTTATCGAACGTTGTTTATGTTTAAACATCGGACTAACTTTTACATCACCACGTGTATATAATAATTATTTATTTAAGCCTACAATAGACAAATTGAAACAAATCTGCTCCTATGAATAAACTGATTTAAAATGTTCTTTATTCATAATTTTTTTTAAACAATATCTTTTTATCTTACTCTAAAGCATTATTAATCTAGATCAGTGATTTTTCAAATTGTGTGCCACAAGAAGATCATAGGTGTGCTGTGAAAATTTTTGAAGGTTATTAACCTGTTCTTGACGGCCAGTGTATATTATGCCGTTGCGTACACCGCAATTTTTAATGTTAATGTTTAGTTAAACATAAAAAAATACTTAAAACTGAAAAAAAAAAGAAAGAAATATGTTAATTTTGAAGAAAAAGCTTCAAACTTTATTTTCCATTGTCTCACCTTTCTGTGAAATTTGACGCTGATGAGTCATTGTTTACACAGCTGGATGACTTTGAACACAGCTGGAGTTGGATTTTCCAGGACATTCTCATAGAAGTCTCGGGAGGCGATGGGTTTATAGTAGGGTGAATACTAGCTGGCCGTATATTTTTAAATATTTTTAAAAAATTAAAATTTTTATTGTGCTTTCCGACCTCCCCTAATTAATTAAATTTATATAAAATAAAATATATTAATTAAAAAAATTAAAAAACTATTGGAGGTCGTTTTTGACATCAGAAAGTAGCTTTAAATAACTTTACCGAAGGAAAATCCGTGCGCTAGAACTTTAGAACGATGAATTAAATTTGATAAAAAAAATCCCATTAAAAATAATTAAGCCTTAATTGAGCCTATATGATAATAGGCTGAAAAGTTTTGTCCTTGTTATGTTATTTTTATTAGAAATTATTATTTGAGTTAAAACTGCTAGATAGCTGTTTGACTTAAAATGGTGACTTGTCAAGCAAGCTGTTCCAATCAACAATTTGTTATTGAATTTCTTACAGCTGAAAATGAGGTGCCAATTAACATTCATCAAAGAGTGGAATTTTCAGAATTTATTTAGTTTTAACATAGAAATTTTAAAAATAATGGAAAATTTGTTTTGAAATAAAGTAAAAAGAAATGGCCAGTTCTAGATTTGAATTTGAACATAATACTAGATAATTATTCCAAAAATTTAAATCTAAAATAAATATACAGTAGAGCATCGATTATCCGACCCCCGATTAACCGTCACATCGGTTAACCGACCGTTCTAGTCGGCAGATTCAAATGTCCGCTAGTGATGTGGCGCTACAATATTTGGCTACGCCTTGGCTACTTTAATAGTACTTTTACGTGTTTTAGCTGGCAATACTGGCTCAACCATAAAAGGGAGCCAGTATTTAAACAAGGCTTAATTTTCTAATTTTTAACGATACAATAGCAACAATTATTATTTTAAAAAAGTTTTGTTAGGCTTAACATCGATGAAAATTCAACGCAAGTAGGTTAATAGTGATATACTAATTACATGAGATATACTAATATACTATACTAATAATGTATTTTTTCATATTTTTCGGTTATCCATTTTTTCAGTTATCCGACCAACCCCAGTCCCCAATTGAGTTGGATAATCGATGCTCTACTGTATATATATAAAATCTAAAATAATTATATATATACAAGGTCTGTTCAAAAAGTATCGGACCTTTTTTTTTCCGCGTAAACCAATGATGCGCGACAGGCCTTTTTCGGTGGAGTTGTAGAGGGGACAGTCATGCACAGCCCTGAATTTTTTCCCGCCTGCAGGAAGCATCAGTCGTTGGCAATCGGCCTATGAGTGAGGTCATGTAGTGCGCCGTCGTCAGATTTCACTAAGCTGGAAAATGACTGAACAACGTGAGCAGCGATATTACATCAAATTTTGCCAAAAACCTTGGCGATACCCAAGCGTAAACCATTCGCAAGATTCAGCAGGCTTTCGGGGACGATCCTCGAGGCCAAAAAAAGCGCGACAGGTCCGCAGCAATATCAAAGGTCATGTTGACAGTTCTTTCGACTCTCGTGGGGTGGTGTGTCGTGAGTACGCACCACAAGGCCAAACCATC